TCTCGATCTCCTGACCTTGTGATCCGCCCGTCTCGGCCTCCCAAAGTGCTGGGATTACAGGTGTGAGCCACCGCGCCCGGCCTCTTTTCATTTATTAAATTATGTTTCCACTTTCTTCTCACACCCCTTCTAATATTGATCCATATGTTCTCTGATAAAGAAAAAAAAAGTAAAGAGCTCAGGGAAGGCGGGGAGTGGAAATAGAAGAAAACCTCAGCAGTTTTCTGAGGCCAAATGAGCCAACCCTCAGCTATAGGATCACAGAAATTTAGAACTGCTCCAGGCCTCTGTAGGGCTACAGATTCATCAGGAACCCTGGGTAAATAATTTCCATTTGGTGACAGCCTCCTGCTCCATATTTTTGCCCATATATGGAACTGTGGATTATTTACATATTTAGAGAACATTGGGCTGAATCTTTCTGTAATAAAATGCTCTTCTTGGGTTTGATGGAAAAATTAAATGTCATGATAATGAATTATATATCAAACCAATTTCCCATCATACCTTTCAGCATTCCACATGTTTCTCTGACTCTCTGACTAAACTGATGTCCTCCAAGAACAAGCTGAACATTATTTTGGTGTGTGTGGGTGTATAGCAGCTTTAATTTTTTTTTTTTTAGTTGTGGGGAGAGACAGAGTCTTGTTTTGTCATTAAGGCTGGCTTACAGTGGCATAATCATACTCACTGCAGCCTTAAACTCCTGGGCTCAAGCAACTTTCCCACCTCAGCATCCAAGTAGCTAGGAGTATAAGCATGTGCCACCACAGCCATCTAATTTTTTGTTTTTAAGAGACGGAGTCTCACTATGTTGCCTAGGCTGGTCTTGAACTGATCCCAAGCAATCTTTCTGCCTCACCTTCTCAAAGTGCTGGGATTCTAGACATAAGCCACTGTGCCCAGCCCATAATAGCTTTATTGAATATAATTTACATACCATACAATTCACCCTGTAAGCAATTCAATAATTTTTAGTATATTGGAAGTTGTGTCGATTTTATAACATTTTCATCCCCCCACAAAAGAAACCCCTCTTCTGGGTATATACCCAAAATAATTGAAAGCAGACCTTTGAAGGGATATTTGTATTTCCACATTCATAGCAACACTAACCAAAAGGTGGAAGTAACCCAAGTATCCACTGATGGGTGAGTGGATAAGCAAAATATGGTGTTTACATACAATGGAATATTATTCTTCCTTAAAAAGGAAAAAAATTCTGACACATCCTTCAACATGAATGATCTTTAAGGACATTATGCAAAGTAAAAAAAGGCAGTCACAAAAAGACAAAGACTATATGATTCCACTAATATGAGGTACCCAGAGTAGTCAAAATCAGACAGAAAGCAGTATGGTGGTTGCTAGGGCTTAGAGGGGAAAAGGAGTGGGGAGTTATTATATAAAGGGCATAGAGTTTCAGTTTTGCAGGATGAAAAACGTTCTGGAGCTTGTTTATGCAATGATGTTAATGTACTTAACGTAATTGAACTGCCTGCTTAAAATGGTTAAGATGGTATAGTTAGCAGTATTTTCAAGTTTTATCCATATTACAGATTACATCAGTCTTTATTTTTTATTACTAAATAACATACTATTGTACAGAAGTGCCACTTTTATTTATCCATTCATTAGTCAATGGGACATTTGGGTTATTTCCATGAACGTTGGCATTTGCTGCAAGTGTATTCCTTGCTCTGGTAGCATGTCTTCTTAGCCCTTGCAACATATGAAGGGCTCAGAAATGTCTATGGGTAAAGGAGAAGAAGGACGGAGGGCATTAAGAGAAAAAGTAACAAAGTACTAAGGGAGAGAAGAGAGAGCGGGATTCCAGATGCATCTGCCAGAGAAGGAGCCATCAGTAATAACCATGTCTCCCAGAAACTCCTGCCTCTGAGTCACCAGCCTGGTCAGCATCACTCAGGGTTACTGTGCCAGTACTGCAGCATGTACAGCTAACTACACCTACTTGTCTCCTCCTAATTGCCATCCAGTAAAACTACATAAGGCTCTGGAAGTGTCTGACACAGGATTTCCTCTGTGAGATTGTATGCAATACAATAATCACCAGCCAGGCACACAATAAACCTGGCAGGGCAGGCTTCTCTGTGTTCTTGCCGTTATACTTCTTGCTTTGTGTGAGCTATTAAGTACACTCACAAGAGCGGAGGAATTAAGAATGAGAATAACTGTGTATGCTGTGCTTTCAGCCTGCGACTGTAACCCCCTTGGGAGTCTGCCACTCTTGACCTGTGATGTGGATACAGGCCAATGCTTGTGCCTGTCATATGTCACCGGAGCACACTGCGAAGAATGCACTGTATGTATTTGACTATCATTTCCCTTTTATATAATGATGTGGATTTCTATTGCCATTGCCTAGGTGAGACTTGGTTTTGCTAATCTCTTTCCTTTTCCTATTGTGTTTTAGTACTCCAGTGGTATGAGTATTTACACTACAGAAATCAGCAAACACTACCTATCTGCCTCCCCTCACCCCTGCATTGAGCTGCCTGTTAAACATTTACCAGCACACCACTGGACTGGACTAAACCGACCCAGGCACAGATGTTATTAGATTTATCCACTGTTTTCCTGAAAATGCCAAGCAGTAGAATAGAAGAATATTTATCTGCCCATGTTTTAGGCCACCAGAACTTTCTTCTATCCCTTGCACACAATCCCCTTATCATCCCTACCGCGCTCTTCCTAAAAATGTTTTGGATAAGGTCTTATAAAAAAACAAACATAGGTTTAATGTATTTTAGATTCCTGTGGGAAATAAACTCTTGGATTTTTCACAGACTCTACTAAACATACAAGCATGTATCATCTAAAATTAGTAAAATAAAACATATTCACTCCATAAGAAATGCATGATGCAATTGGGGAGTTCAAACCCAACTCTTTTCTTTGTTCTCCAATCTTGGCAGCTCACCATGACATTTTAGAAAGAAAAAAACACAAAAACTTAACCTAATAAAAGAACAGTGACCTTGATGTGTCTGAAGAAATGTAGCTGATGAATAAGAAACATATGCCTATGAAGACATGGTTTTGTGCTCATATTTTAAGTCGTTTTACTGAAAACAGGATGGGGCAGACAGGGTGGGGGAAAGAAACAAGGAAGGAAATACGAAGAAGGGATTCTAGAAGAGAAGTCAGAAAATCTGAAAATTGTACTTTAAAGAGAAAGGTCAGCCATGCCAATCTCCATGACCGTAAGTGTGTGACACAAAAAAAGGAGCACAGTTGGTTATAGCATCATCAAATCCTGAAATTATGTGATCAACCAAATCATGTAATTCCAGACAAAGCTTAGGCTCAGGCTGACTTTTTTTTACTGGCTGGTTAACTGCTACATGTGCAGTACAGACTCACTTTTGCTTGCAGGGAAAGCAAGTAAAATAACTGAATAGGGACCCCCCCCCATGGGGGAACTGTCCATTGTGGCTGAGCCCGTGTACCCACCAGGTTCTCCATATCCACATTTCTCCAGTGGCACCATGGATCTGCCCTGAGGTGGCCAGCATGGCAGCAATCCCTGTCCTAGAGGGAGTTTTCACGACCACATCCTGTGGGAAGCAGTTCTTGTCACATCATTTTTTTTTTTTTTCTTAAACTGAAGTTTTGGTTTGGGGAAAAACATCAAGTTCTTTGTCACATTGTGTCCAAAGACATCAATGTTTAATATCTAAAAGGTATCTTTTTGAGTAAAATCATGCGTAAAATTGTACCAAGATACAAAAAATATGGATGCTTAACAAGACCATTTCCAATGAGAATTTCATACCTACTAAAATGTAAGTTTTATCGGAGCATGTTCAATTGAGATTGGTTGGAGAAGACTTTTTTTGAGCATTTTATACTAAATATTATAACACTTAGAAAATAGTTATTTGTATCTAACCAGCTGTTTATTTTGAACAACAGTCAAGATGTTGCAATGATGGAAAAAGTCTGGAACAACAGAGTTGATCTCTCACATGGATTCATGTTATTATGCCAAAACAACTGATTGATAAACAAATGCCTATGCTAAAGTGTGATATTCATGTAATATCTCAAAATTAACTTGAATGATTTCTCTGCCTCCAAACATTTCACTATTGCATGGGTAAAATCCCCAGGGACTGTTGTGGTAAGGGAACCTATAAGTTTTATTAAAAGCAGTTACATAGCCGAGCCTGGTAGCTCAGGCCTGTAATCCCAGCACTTTGGGAGGCTGAGGCGGATGGATCATGAGGTCAGGAGTTCAAGACCAGCCTGGCTAACACAGTGAAACCCCGTCTCTACTAAAAATACAAAAATTAGCTGGATGTGGTGGTGGGCACCTGTAATCCCAGCTACTTAGGAGGCTGAGGCAGGAGAATTGCTTCAACCCAGGAGGCAGAGGTTGGTCAAGAGCGTATCACTGTGCTCCAGTGTGGGCAAAAGAGCAAGACTCCATCTGGGTTGGGGGGACGGGAGATAAAGGCAGTTACACATAGGCTGGTAGAAGAACTTCTATTCCAATAGGACATACATAACCCAGCTTGAGCATAAACTGGTGATGTCAGAGGAATTGTAAGGCTTCCATTGCTTTTCCACTTGACACATTACATGGACAACCTTCCTGTCCCCTTCATTTTTAAAAAATTTTTTTGAGATGGAGTCTCACTCTATCACCCAGGCTGGAGTGCAGTGGCATGATCTCGGCTTACTGCAGCCTCTGCCTCCAAAGTTCAAGCGATTCTCCTTCCTCAGCCTCCCAAGTAGCTGGGACTACAGGCATGAACCACCATACCCATGCAATTTTTGTATTTTTCGTAGAGACGAGGTTTCACTATGGTTGGCCAGGCTGGTCTCAGACTGTCGGCCTCAAGTGATCCACTTGCCTTGGCCTCCCAAAATGCTGGGATTACAGGCATGAGCCACTGTACCCAGCCCTGTCCCCTTACTTCAAATCCTGGAGATGGGAGATGTGTCTGTGGAGATCACTAGCCAAGCACATAGGCCAGGAAGGCTTCTCTGAGATGGTGCAGGCTGTTTGGCTATTTGATGTGTGGCAATTGCATTGTAGTGATTTCAATATTGCACTTCAGAGCAACAGTATCTTCATAGCAGGAATCAGCTGAGCCTGTTTTCTCTGTAGGTTGGATACTGGGGCCTGGGAAATCATCTCCATGGGTGTTCTCCCTGTGACTGTGATATTGGAGGTGCTTATTCTAACATGTAAGTCAAATGAGTAAGTTTTATAGCAATATTCCTTATTTAAACATAAAAGCACATTTTATTCTGATATGCTCATAGTCATAGGTGAAAAATTTCATTCCATGACAAGCGATGATCTTGAAACATTAACTACAACCCTTTGATTTATTTCACTTCAAATATTTCCAAGGGTGAGGTAAACAATCCTTCTGCTGGGTATCCCACCACAAGCTGGTGGCAAGGGTGCTTGAATACGTGTGACCTGCCTAAAACACCAGCTTTTTCCATCCTGTAAAGAGAGATCCTAATGCCCCCTTTTTGCCAGATTTTAGAGCAGAACTGCGGGGAAAAAAGTGGCCGCCTGGGCTCCATGACCCTGGATTCACTATTCAAGACCAGTTATGTTAAACCCATGGCCTTTCTACATCTGCCCACAGGACTATTGATTGACTGACTCTCAGGATTGCTCCAAACTCAGGGAGCATTAACCCAGCACCCATACACCTTCATTTTACACTCACCTACTTTGTATTTTTTCGGGATGAATTGCTTTTTCCTCAGGTGTTCACCCAAGAATGGGCAGTGTGAATGCCGCCCACATGTCACTGGCCGTAGCTGCTCTGAACCAGCCCCTGGCTACTTCTTTGCTCCTTTGAATTTCTATCTCTACGAGGCAGAGGAAGCCACGCCACTCCAAGGACTGGCGCCTTTGGTTCGTATTTCATTTACTTTCCCTACAGACTGCGTTTGATGATACATCAGTAAACACACACAGCACATACTTGAGATCATGGTTAAGATACCTAGAGAAGAATGCTTTTGCCCAAAGATGCAGATCAGAGTTTGTTATAACCTGCAAATGCAGATTATATAACTCTTGAGCACAGAGTCTCTGTTTAATTCATCTTTGTCTCCCAGGTCTAGCACAGGGTCTGGCCCATCAATGTGAATGGATCAAATTATGATGAAACAGACTTTACTTTTGCTGTTTCAAGGTATACCCATCAGACAAAATGTGTTTATTGAGTGTCTACTTCTCCATCTCCCCATGATACTATAAACTATAAAAGGGTGAGGTGGATGTGTACAGCATTCATCATTGTTGCACTATAGCACAGTGCCTGACACACTGTAGGAACTTTATAGATATCTGCTAATAAATGAACGACGAAGGTATAGAAGGTTCTCAAGAGTGTGACTCCAGATAGGAATATGACAAAGGAAAGGTAATTCAAGGTGAAACTCTAAGGAGAGAAAGCATGTGAAAGTTGATCCCAAAGACAGGATTTGGACAGATAAAGAAAACAAGGGGAATGAATTCTAGGTTCCAGTAACTGAGTCATTCCTGGAATCTGTTCCTTATCTGTAAGGACAGATGGGGAGGGATGAAAATGCCCCGTAGGAGGCTTGGAATTTGCTCTTTTACTGACTACACTCAAGACTATAGCATGAGATTTTCATTGCCCCTACTTAGATGTAACAACTGCAGTAGGTGGAATCCAAATTCCAAATGAAATAATCCATTGTCTGGGTTCTTCTTCATGGTCTTGAATATTGCATCTTTATGATGTTTGCTGAAAAAAAATTTTTGGAAAGAAGTATTAGTATGTCTGTTTAGGTCATAACTAGGTCTCACTTTTTAGATAAGAAAACAGAATAAACATAATTATCTAAAATAAATAGATGTAGCACCCCCAACACGGCACATACTGAACAAATGTTTATCCTGTTACCAATTAAGTAGACTAATATCAAATATGCCAATACAGCTCTGAGCCAGGGGTTGTGAGTAAAGCGTCTGAAACAATGCTGATTTCACTTGTGAGGGGGGTTAAATCATGCATGATATGAACCCTTACTACTCCCTCAGTGGCTTAAGGAAAAATATCCAGGACATGGAATACGTTTAAAGGGCAGGTAACATTTTCTTAACAAGTTAGAAAGTAATGCCTATGACAAAAGAAAAAGCGTTCAAGGTGGGATTGATATTAAGAGTTTAAAGAGCAATAATGTGAATAATTTTCTTTCTCTGCTGAGGGTATGATCTTTAACTGCAGTAGAAAAGATTTAAGTTGGTTACCATTTGATTATTTGCACATTCATTAACAAAATGTTATGGTATGCTTGCTATGCTGTCACTGTTGCTCTATTATTAATATTATTCCATGTATTTAATGTGCTATGCTTTGTGCTTTACATACATTGTCTCATTTAACTCTCCAAACAACCGATTATTCCTAATTCCCAGATGAGGAAAAAACATTAGAGAGGTTAGGTAAGTCACTCAAAGTCATACATCTAGTAGATAGTGGGGGTTGGGAGAGACTGGATTGAAACCCAGGTGCATCTGGTTTAAAAACTCTTATTCTTGACCAGGCACAGTAGCTCACATCTGTAAAGCCAGCACTTTGGGAGGCCAAGGCAGGAGGATCACTTGAGTCCAGGAGTTTAAGACCAGCCTGGACAACATAGTGAAATCCCACCTCTACAAAAACAATGACAAAAAAATAGTTGGGTATGGTGGCACATGCCTGTAATCCCAGCTACTTAGGAAGCTGAGGTAGAAGAATAGTTTGGGCCTGGGAGGTTGAGGCTGCAGTGAGCTGTGGTTGCACCACTTCACTCCAGCCTAGGCAACAGAGCAAGAGACCATGTCTCAAAAAAAAAAACCAAACACAACTCTTATTCTTAACCCGTTTTTTGTTGTACAATGTGCACACAAAGCTGAGCTCCAGGCTAAGGACAGATAAGGATTAGTTAGGGTCACTGGCTCCAGGAGTTTTTACTATAGCTAACACATTTACATAGATAGCTTAGGATGGGCCAGTGACAAATGATAAGGAGAATCAGTAAGTGTATTAGGATTTCTGAGCCATGAGTGAGCCTTTATGAGAAGACAATCTAGTCAGAGCAAGTTATAAATAACAGTTCAGAGGAGAACCAAGGCAGGTATAGACACAAGTACAGCAGGGAGGGTAAATAGAGAACTATTGTAAAATAAAATTATAGTCTCCTGCTAAGGAGGCTAAACTTTATTTTTTGAGCAATGAGAACTTACTGAAGCCTTCTGTCATGCTGGGCCCCTATTGACCTCAATAGATACTGCACCGTGTTCAAAGAGACCAAAGAAGACACCCAGAGCCAGTGAATGAGACATAGGGTTGATTGAGGGAACTTACATACAGGGGTCTATTGGCAGCAGGCTAGACAGGAGCACTGCTATAAAAAAAAGAAAGTGTAGTTTATGTAGCATTTTCACTTAGTACCCTCCCCCCAGCAACCTCTTCCATAAAACCTTCATTTAACCCAAAACCAAGGGCCTCAAACCTCTGTATGGCCTGTATTCCACAGGATGGGCCAGAGGTTCAGATGTTCCTCAGAGATAAGGAATGAATCTCCAGGTTGGCGACTCCCAGATTCCTTAGCTGGGAACTCTAAACTCACATTCCTTTTAGACCATAGGGTCATTCTCAGAGTATGCTTAAGTGATTGCTGTCAGATGTGTTCGCCACCTTCTGTGCAAGGGAATGATATGACAGAGGCTGTCCTCAGTATTCTTACAAACTTAATCTAACAGAAGTGAAGCCCATTTCTGTACAGACTGCACTAGTCCAGACAGGAACAAATAAGGACCTAAGTTAAGAGGTAACAGAGAGAAGAGAAAGGTTGGAGATGAAACTATGAATGTGAATAAAAGCAAACCCAACTGCATCTTATGAAGAATTGTTTCAACATTCTAATTGGAGAACTAAGAAGAATTACAATTAACTTTCTCCATGGTTCGTTGGTGGAATAATCTGAACCTCTTGGTCCATGGTATAATTAATACTTCCGATGGGTACTTAAACTGTCATTTCTTTTTAAGATGTTAGGCCGGGCGTGGTGGCTCATGCCTGTAATCTCAGCACTTTGGGAGGCCGAGGCGAGCAGATTACCTGAGGTCAGGAGTTTGAGACAAGCCTGGCCAACCATGGCAAAACCCTGTCTCTACTAAAATACAAAAATTAGCTGGGCATGGTGTCTCACACCTGTAATCCCAGCTACTTGGGAGGCTGAGACACAAGTATCACTTGAACCTGGGAGGCAGAGGTTGCAGTGAGCTGAGATCGTGCCATTGCACTCCAGCCTGGGTGACAGAGGGAGACTCTGTCTCAAAGTTGCCCATTTTGGAAAACAGAAAACTGAAAAAAAAAAAAAAAAAGATTTTAGCAACAGGTTTGCCTGGAATGTGATGTGTATTTCCAGCAACAAGGAAGTGATTTCATAATTGACAAAGAAAAGATAATACTGAAGAGAAATCAGAAGTAAAGCTTCCATGCTGATGAGCAGAGTGAGGTAAACCATTTATGAATGGCCACAGTCACAGGCCGTAAATGAATTATATGGTAATGAATGCACTTACAACTGTGCTTGGTTCATGCATGTACTCAGTTAGTAAAAGCTCTTATTACCCTCATGAACAGAAATGGAGGAAAGGAAAAACCAAGTCCGAAGAAATCAGATCCTCTGGGGAAAAACATCAATAGCTTTATTTCTTTGCAAAACGAATAATTTCTAGAAATCTGGGCTCTGAAGAGTTAGAGTTGCACACTGTGAATTCACAATTTCTTGTCATTTTAGTAAGGAGAGGTAAAGTGCTGAGGAGTGGCTCTCCTCTTAGATGGAGAAGGAAGGACACGCTGATGGCCCCTGGGTTGGTGCTATAGCTGTGCCTCAGACTTTGAGGCAGCTGCAGTTGGTCAGTGCTGGCATCAGTGGCAGAGCGATGCCACCTCCTCATGGCCCAGTCTCCCATGGCTACAGAAGCCCCAAAGAGTCTAGAAGACCTTGTAGCCATCCCTTGTTATTCACGAAAGTCAGAGCCACCGTAGGCTTGTTTGTGGGTTGGTTCATTCCTTCATTTATTAGCTGTATTGAGATTTTTACTGAGCCTTCCTGGGTGCATATGCACAAATGGGTGTATTGGAGAAGCAAATGAAAGCACACGTTGGCTGTCTTGTTCCCAAACCCAGCACCGCTTACACATAAGAGAACTTCTCAAGTGAATAAAATGGCTGAATGAAAGAAAACAGAAACACTTCAACATGGAGCCTGCCCCTATTGTAGTGGGAAGGAACTGTGGACACAAATGGCTGATGTGTGGTGGGCTGGGCTAAGGGTCATGAAACAGCTGCATGTAACATGATATGGACTTCAGATTACAGAGAAATACCCCAGCTGAGAAGTTCAGAGAAGGCTTCGTGGGCATTGCTCCCCCTACCAGGATCATGTGCGCTAATCATGGGGTCTTTGCTTTCTCCTACTTGTTCCTATTCCTATGCTACAGCCCCACAAGGCCTTCTCTGACTTCTAGGCTAGAAGTGGCTCTCCTCGATCTGAAGTCCACCTGAAAAGAGGAGACTGGGGAATGAGTCGCTACTCCCCTAATTCCCTCAGTGATCCTCAAATTTTTACTGTGCGTGTTACCTAGGGAGTTTATTTAAAATCCAGATTCCAGGTCTGACCCTTGAGATACCATATCCGGGAATCTGAGGCTGGCCAAGAAACCTGTGTGTTTGCCACATGCCCCTAGGTGAGTCTGATATGGGTGGTTCATGACAGCACTTTGAGAAACCCAGCTTTAAGCATGCACAACATACTCCTCTCTTTCTTGAAATGACCACCTCTGTGTTATTGATTGGGAAAACTTCTCATCCCTTAAAACCCAACTCA